TATCTTTGTGGTGTTCTCTGTATTTCCTGGACTTGAATGGTGGCCTACCTTGGTAGGTTGGGGAAGTTCTCCTGGATAATATCCTGAAGAATGTTTTCCAGCTTGGATTCATTCTCTCTGTCACATTCAGGTACACCTATCAAACATAGATTAGGTCTTTTCACATAATCCCATATTTCTTGGAGGCTTTGTTCATTTCTTTTCACTCTTTTTCTCTATTCTTGCCTTCTCATTTTATTTGATTGAGTTGATCTTCAATCTCTGTTATCCTTCTGCTTGGTCGATTCAGCTATTGAAACTTGTATATGCTTCATGAAGTTCTTGTGCTGTGTTTTTCAGCTCCATCAAGTCATTTATATTCTTCTCTAAGCTGTTTATTCTAGTTAGCATCTCATCTAACCTTTTTTCTAGGTTCTTAGTTTCTTTACATTGGGTTAGCACATGTTCTTTAGGTCTGAGAAGTTTGTTATCCTCTGAAGCCTGTTTCTGTCAATTCATCAGATTCGTTCTCCATCCGTCTTTGATCCCTAGCTGGTGAGGAGTTGTGATCCCATGGAGGAGGAGAGGCGTTCTGGTTTTTGGTGTTTTCATCCTTTTTGTGCTAGTTTCTTCCCATCTTAGTGGTTTTATCTACCTGTGGTCTTTGTAGTTGGTGACTTTCGGATGGGGTTTCTAAGTGGATGTCCTTTTTGTTGACGTTGAAGCTATTTCTTTCTGTTTCTTCGTTTTCCTTCTAACAGGTCTCTCTGCTGCAGGACTGCTGGAGGTCCACTCCAGACCCTGCTTGCCTGGGGATCACCTGCAGGGGCTGTAGAACAGTAAGGGTTGCTGCCGGTTTCTTCTTCTGTTATCTTCATCCCAGAAGGGTACCTGCCAGATGTCGGCCTGAGCTCTCCTTTATGAGATGTCTCTTTGGGTATATGGGGGTTGGGGAGTTGCTTGAGGAGAAAGTCTGTCCCTTATAGGAGCTCAAATGCTGTGCTGGGTGCTCAGTTGTTCTGTGCAGAGCTGCTGGGCAGGTACCTTTAAGTCTGCTGCAGTGGAACTCATAACCGCTTCTTTTCCCACATGCTCTGTCCTAGGAAGGTTGGCTTTATTTATAAGTTCCTGAGGTGCTGCTGCCTTTTTTCAGAGATGCCCTTCCCTGCATGGAGTAGTCTTGTCACAGTCTGCCAGCAGAGGTGTTGCTGAACTGCTACAGGTTCTGCCCAGCTGCTGTGTGAACTACCTCAGTAGTGGTGGACGCCCTTCCCCCCAGTGAGCTGGGCTGTCCCAGGTCCAGCTGTGCTTGCTGGGAAACTCTCAGTCCAGAGCATTTCACATTGCTAGTTTTGTGGGGGTGGTATCTGCAGAGCCAGATTGCCTGGCTCCCTGTCTCCGCCCCCTCCCTTTCAGTTGAATGGGTGGCTCTGTCTTCCAGGCGTTCCAGGCGCCAGTTGAAACGGCCACCCAGATTTGTGTGAGTTTCTGTATGCCAACCCGCAGCATCAGCTGTGCTGAAAACTTGTGGCACTTTTCAGCCCAGGAATCTCCTGGTCTGTGGACAGTGAAAACTTATTTGGAAATGCGGTGAGCACTCACCCTCTGCATTGTTTTTGCTGGGATCTGTACTCCAGAGCTGTTCCTATTCGGCCATCTTGGATCCTCTCTCCTAATGAGTTTTAAGAAGGAATGAGTGAATACTTAATGTTACATGGAATAAAAATCTGATATGATAAGGAGTGTCTATTTTGTCTATTGGATTTAATATTTTTGAGAGAAGGTTTGGTGAATTGGTGTTTGCAAAGGCCAATTGCTGTGCATTGAGGAGTATGTTTGATCATTCAAGTAATAAAAAAGAAAAAAATCAAGCTGACTCTTGAAGCACTCCCCCACACCCCCAAAAAGAAATAAATGTTTGTGTCTTATGTAGTAGGCATTGTTCCAGGTCGTTGAGGATTTATTAGTGAACAAAAAATGTCCCCGTCTTCATGACACTTAGATTCTAATAGAAGGAGATAGGTAAACACAGGAAGTAGTGATAGACAAGTATAAAGCACTATTTCAAGAAGACTGGCTAAAAGATTTACTATACAATAATACAGTAACAGCTAATGTCTACTGAATGCTTATTCTGTCCCAGGTACTGTACATAGAATATATCCTTTAACTCTCACAGCAACCCTGTGGATTAGATAATATCTTTCCCGGTTTTGAAAGGAGGAAACTTAGGTTCAGAGTAGCTAATAACTTACACAAGATTATACAGCTAATAAGAGGCAGATCTGAGACTTAATCCGTGGTCTGTCTGATTCCAAAGTTTGTACTTATAACCACTATGCTGTGTTGAATCTTCAGAAACATGTTTTATGTTGACAGTAACCTTTAATTACTTAGATTTACTCACTCATTTACTTACTTGCTATTAAAAATTTTTAGTAGCAAAGTCATTTTTTAATAGCAGTCATTTTGTTCTTTATTGCCATTATATGTAATAGCATTATACTTTATTATTTTGTCTGTGCTTAACTACAGAAGTTCTTTGTTTTCACACAACTGCCTCATGCCAAAAAGTGCCTCTAATTTCTGACATTGTGAAGAAATTGGTCACTGTTTTTAGAAATTTATAAAGATTTAAGCTGGGTGCTGTGGCTTGCATCCTGTAGTCCTAGCTACTCGGGAGGATCACTTGAGCCAGAGTTTGAGGCTACAGTGAGCTATGTAGGCATGCCACTGCACTTCAGCCTAGGCGACAGAGCAAGACCATGTTTCTTAATTTAAAAAAAAGTTCCGGATGGCTCACAGGAGTGTTAGAGACCCTTATTGTTTTTGTGTTCAACTCTTCAACAAATACTAATGGAAAAATTTCTTGTGCCACACACTGTGTCAGGTGGTGGTGATACAATGGTAATCTCTGTTGGAGATTACATTCTAGTTGAGGAAGATACAATAAACACACGGTACATGGTAAAATTTTAGACAGAAATAGATGTTATGCAGAAAATAACAGCATATTGAAATAGTGATTCAATAGTGGGAAACTACTTCAGCAATGATGGTCAGTCAAGAAAAGCCTCTGACGAGGTGACATTTGAGCTGAGATCTGAATAATGATGATTTGGCTATGAGAGCTGGGAGAAAAGCATTTTATAAAGAGGGAACAGTTTACTAAAGGTCTGAGTTGGAAATAAGCTGGAAATGTTCAAGGGTTAGAAAGAAAACTAGTGTGGTTGAGTGTGTGGTGAATGAAGGAGAAACTAGTAGGAGATGAGACTGGAGAGAGAGGCAGCAGCTAAATCATATAGGATTATATAGGTCTTTGCAGAGGATTTGCAATTAGACTGAAAGCTACCAGGAGGGCATTTGAGAGCTTTAAGTAGGAAGTGATATGTATGATCTGATTTATAATTTTAAAAGATTGTTCTAGCTTCTAGGTAGAGATTTTAGATCAATTAAAAGTCTATGGTAGTAGTCCAGGTAAGATATTATGAGATTGGGTGGTCTCTCAGAGGGCCCTTGTCATTTAACAGTCTCAGTTCTAGGTTATTCACATCTGGGCTTTATTTGGAGTGACTTTCACAATTTTCCAACATCAGTTTCAGTCTCAGACCTTTACTATTTGCTGAAGATCCATTGGGGGAAACATATTACCACTATATCTTCATAAATATTGTGCTTATTATCTTACTATTTGTTCTCAAAAGTGGTTAGTAAGGATAATTATCTCTAGTATACTTAATGTACAGAATGGGATAAAGGATATTTACAGCTCTGGCTGCTCATATTATTGTCTTATCTAAATATATCTTTTTTTTAAATTGTGGTGGGTTTCACTTCACTATTGGAAAAGCAAATAGCATTTTTCAATGTCTAACACAGTGCCTAACACAGTATAGTTACTTAATAGAAATTTGTCCATTATATATGAACTGTTTCTGCTGGCTAAATTCAGCACATGCCACCAGTTTATAAGGTTTATGCATAATTTTTCATTTAATTCTCATATGCATTTATATAAGACCCTTGTATAAAGTAGGAAACCAAAACTCAAAACACTTCACATTGTTCTTCATGTGATCCTCAGAGCATTTACATGAGGTAGGCCATAGCATTATATAGAATTTATAATGATGAAAAAGGCTCAGAGAAGAATAATGACTTGCCCAACGTTCTGTTTTCTCATCCTATGTTAGTTTTCTTTGTAGCACTTATCATTTTTGGATATAGTATATATCAATTTATATATTTGTCAGCCCCACTAGAATATATGCTCCATGAGGGTAGAGACTGTAGAGTTTACCTAATTCTGTGTAACAAATTCCTCTAAAACATTTGTTATTTTGCAGTTTCTGTGGTCCAGGGATTGCAAAGCAGCTTAGCTGAGTTGATTCTAGCTTAGGCTCTCTCCTGAGGTTGTAGTTCATATATCAACTAGGGTTGCTGCCATCTAAAGGCTTGACAGGCTGGGATAGCTGCTTCAGTGATCACTCATGCAGCTGTTGGCTGGAGCCCTCAGTTCCTCACCATGTAGGTCTCTCTTCATGACATAACAGATGGTTTCTTTTAGAGTGAATGAATCCAAGAGAAAACAAGGCAGATGCTTTATTAAATATAAAATGTATTTTATAGCCTAGCAATGGAAGTGACATATGTTCACTACTACCATATTTTGTTGGTGATACAGACTGAATACTGTGGGATAGGGGCTACACAATGGTACACAATAACTGGAGGTAAGGTTCATTGGGGGCCATCTTGGAGGTTGGCTATTATAGACACTTGTTATGTCTTGTTTATTAGTATAGTCTCAACATCAAGAATGGTGCTTTGCATATGTATAGTAGGTAAATATTTGTTGATGAAGTGGGTGGATGGATTTTGACTACAGATGAATTTAAAATGGACCTTTAGAGAAAAGACTATTCATGGAGCCGTAAGTTGCTCTGGGGTGGGAGTGGAAAATGATGTTCAATGTAGAGAAAGGTGAATTCACTCTGTTTTTGGTTATATCTTTCCTTCAGATGTGGAAACACGAGGGCTTTTTCGCACTCTATAAAGGATTTTGGCCAAACTGGCTTCGGCTTGGACCCTGGAACATCATTGTATCCTTTGAGAGAATGAAAGCAAGTGCTTCAAGCTCCCAGATAATTCTAGGCAATGGGAAGAAAAATTTGATTATTAAAGTCTTTTAGGCTAGTGAGAAATTCAAGCATCCCATTGGTGACCCTTGAGAATGGAATTAAGTAGAGAAACAGCTTTCAATTGGAGGCTAATACCAACTGAAGGGGATAGAAAAGATACGTCAAACTGTCCTCTTTAAAACAAAATGACAACAAACACAGCCAATCTGGAAGGAGCTATGAAGTTTTTAGAAACCCTCATGGAAGAAGACTACTGGAAAGTCCATGCTGAGGTGATCCAGATTTCCCGCCCCTAACTATAGGACCAAAATAGCTGGGAAATAAAAACAGGACAGAAAACATTCACAGGGTGAAGGAATCTACAGGCAAGTAGGCGTCTTTCTTCATGCGTGAATCTGTCTCCTTCAGTTGTGTTTGAGTGCCTCCTAAGTGCAGAATCATGTCTTGGATACTGTGCGTGGTGTTGTGTGTGTAATGGTGAGCACTGCAGGGTTGGAAAGTAATTTCCTGCCCTTGTGGGATCTGTAGACTGAGAGAAAATATCTCTTTCCCTCTTGGAATAACTATGATCATCTAATTATATGTTGTCATTGATGTTCTTGGTTTGTGTGTGTGTGTGTGTGTGTGTTTGTGTGTTCTGTCTGCCCCTGAAGGCTATAAATATATTAGAGTTTTACTCTGTTTATATTGTTTGATGCCAGTGATCTGAATGGGCACATGGTAGGCACTCAATGCATGCTTGATTTGACAGATGGCATTTTAAAAAAGATTTTAAAGCAAATGCAGCTTAGAATAGCATAGACTACCTTAATTTAAGAGAATGTAATGCACAATTTTAGAACTGGCTTTGGCTTTCAATATCAACCTGTGATCTTCCTTGACTTACTCCTCAGTTTTTTATTACGTACGAGCAGCTCAAGAGGCTTCAAATCTAAGGACTGAATTATGTGAGCCCAGCCCTCCCAGCGTTTCTACTCCTTTTCCCTTTTCCCATGTTCTAATGTATTTTGACAAAGTTGTAAGTGTTTACCAAACCGTTGGTCTCCTAAGGGCCTCCTGATGGAAGAACAGTAGGTGGTTCAAAGTTATTTCTATGTTTGTGTTACCATGTTAACTTTTCCGTGAGAGAAAGTGTTAACATTGAGACTCTGGCCCCAGATTGGTATCTTCTATGAAGATGGATACTGATGGGTGACCTTGAAAACGGCCTGCTTTCCAAATGTGGTTAAATGTAATTGGTTAGCCCCAGACTTGGGCTATGGCAGAAGGCATAGGCCAGGGTGGTTATTGCTATTTGTGTTACAGACCTCGGTTCTCATTAAAGTATTTATTGGCAGAATCACTCTGGCTTTGTCTTCATTTACTATTTTCCCCTTTGCCAACTCTTGAAGTTGCATTCTCCAGAAAGTAATAAAGAGAAGATGACTATGAAATTGAGACTGGACTCTTAAAGTGTACTTTTATGAGACGAGAATGAGTGCATGGTGTTCCCAGTGCCATTCATTGTCATAATGCCACTACAAAGTGTTGGGCAGGTGGTTCTTTGTTAAACATGAATAAACAAGCAAGTGGTTCATTTGGAAGTTTCTACAGGTAAAATGCTAAAAGAGGCTTAAAATAGTACCCTGCTCCCAGGGTTCTAATCATCTTACAGGTACAAAGTTCTGGCTCCTTTTTTTTGTACTGGAACAGAAGCCGGCTCATTGTAGGTACTTAGATATTTGTGGAATGAATAGTTCTTCATCTTTATCCATTCATTAATTTGTTCAACATTTATTTTGTATCTATTAAATCTAGGTTCTGGGACTATAAAGTGACTAAGACACATTCTCTGTTTTTAAGCTCACATTAGAGTGGAAGAAGAGATTTGTGAGTCAGCAATTACAGTGGGTCCTAAGTACATGTGAGAGGTGAGCAAAAGGCTGTGTGGGAGCACAGAGGAGGAACAGCCTTACCTAGAGGATTTGCCAAAGGCTTCATAGCAGAAATGACACTTGGGCTGAGACAGAGGAAGAGTAGATATTACCATGAGGATAAGCCATTCTACATTTTGACAAATGTATAATATGTGTCTATCATTATACAATCATACAGAATGGTTTCATGGCCCTAAAAATCCTCTATGTTCCTCTTATTTATTCCTTCCTTTCCCTTAACCTCTGGCAACCACTGAGGCTTTTTACTATCTTCATGGTTTTGCCTTTTCCAGAATGTCATATGGTTGGAATCATACTTTTCAGATTGGCTTTTTAAAAACTTACTTATATGCATTTAAGATTCCTCCATGTCTTTTCATGGTGATAGCTCATTTCTTTTTAGTGCTGAATAATATTCCATTGTCTGGGTATACCAGTGTATTAATTCACCTGCTGAAGGACATCTTGGTTGCTTCCAAGTTTTGACAATTATGAATCAAACTGCTATAAATATTTGCATGTAGGTTTTTGTGTAGACATTTTCACCTCATTTGGGTAAATATAATATCAGGGAGCACCATTGGTACAATAAGAGTATGTTTAGTTTTGTAAGAAACTCCCAAACTGTCTTCTGAAGTGGCTGCACCATTTTGTATTCCCAGCAGCAATGAATGAGAGTTATTGTTGCTCCACATCTTCTCCAGCTTTTGGTGCTATCATGGGTTTGGATTTTGGCCCTTCTGATAGATGTGTAGTAGTATCTCATTGCTTATATTACTTGTTTTTAAAACATTTACTATACCCATCCGATACCCTACTCATCCCCAAATTAGCAAAAGGGAAGCCATTTTTTTTTTCACAGTGGTAAGGGCTGAAATAATTTCTTTCTTTTTGTCAACCAGGCTGGAATGCAGTGGCACGATCTCAGCTCACTGCAACCTCTGCCTCCCAGGTTCAAGTGATTATCCTGCCTCAGCCTCCTGAGTAGCTGGGATTACAGGTGCCCACCAATACACCTGGCTAATTTTTTGTATTTTTAATAGAGATGCAGTTTCACTATGCTGGCCAGGCTGGTCTCGAACTCCTGATCTCAGGTGATCCACCTGCCTCCACCTCCCAAAGTGCTGGGATAACAGCGTGAGCCACTGCAACTGGCCCAAAAATAGTTTCTTGAGGGGTTTATATATATTGCAAAATGGCATTAATTCACCTCAACCTAAATATTATTATTCCTTCTGAAAAACCTTCCAGTGATTTCCTCTCCCCCAATCTAAATAACTATTCTCATAATTTGATATACCACATATCAGGATTTATATCTGTATATTATATTTGTGTGATTATTTAATTAATTTTATATCTCCCATCATTTGGGGCTCCATAAAAATAGGGATTATGTCAGTTTTGTTCACTACTGGGTTCTTAGTGCTTTATACAGTTATGTGCACTTAACACATTTGTTAAACGAGTAAATGAATTGATCTCTATCCAAAGGATCTGATTAAATGCTGAAAACATAGGAAAGGTTCAACAGATACTGTGGAATTTTAACTGAATTAAAATTTGATTAGCTGGGCATGGTGGCATGTGCGTGTAATCCCAGTCACTAGGGAGGCCGAGGCAAGAGAATCGCTTGAAACTGGGAGGCAGAGGTTGCAGTGAGCTGAGGTCGTACCCATTGCAATCCAGTCTGGGCAATAAGAGCAAGACTCCATCTCAAAAAAAATTTAATTAAATTTTGAATTATTAGGAAACTGACTGTATGTTAAGGATTTACTTCAAGGTATGAGCAACTAGCAGGGCAGTGTTGCCATGGTTTTAGTACCATATATCTACTGGTGACTTCCTCAGCCCGTACTTCTCCCCTGAACTCCATACTTCTATGTCCCACTACTTACTCTACATCATTCTTAAAGTCTAATAGGCACAAGTTGGGCTCAGTGGCACACATCTGTAGTCCCAGCTACTCAGAAGGCAGAGGCAGGAGGATCACTTGAGCCCATGAGCTCAAGGCCAGCCTGGACAATATAACAAGACACTGCCTCTAAAAAAGTCTAAATGACACTTCACAAAACAAAATTCTGGATTTGTCCCTAAAAACCCTTTTAGTGGCTCAGGCCTTGAAGTCATCCTTACCTCTGCTTGTTCTCTCTCACAACCCACATCCTTTCCCCTAGCAAGTCATATTTGAAGGGATAAAGTGATAACCAAAATCTGTAGGTTGTAAGATGTAAAAACTTTCCATTTTTTTCTCCTTTTTTTGAGAGGCTGGAGAATGAAACAACTCAGGTAATATCTAATTATTAATAGTAGAATAATAATTATTAGCTATTAATAATAGCTAATATGGAATATGGGTTTTATTACGTACCAGGTACTGCTTTTTAAGTATGTTGTGTTTATACTTTGTCTGCATCCTTACAAGCAGTCTTCTGAGAGTACAGTTCTCCGTTTTCAGATGAGAAACTGAGGCAGAGAAAGGTGAAATACTTTTGCCTCTAGAAAATGGCAGTCAGGATTCTAGCCCAGGCAGTCTGGCTCAGGATCCCATACTTAAAATCACTATGGTAGAGGTGTACTGACTGTACCTTGTCCAGAGTCACTTAAAGTTTATGGCAGGTGAGCAGTAAAGAATATTGATTTCATTAATTCCCTTATCTTTATAGTTCCCTGGGAGAAAGAAGGGCAGTAGTTTTTGTGGTTGGTCCCTCTTTGACACTTAACAGTAATACCGGCTTTAGATTATTTTCCTGATGACCTGTGACTGCAAATACATCATTTCCCCTTTCTCCTGCTTCTCCCTCTTCCCTTTGTTGGCCTTTCTTCTTCATGACCTCCTTCATCACTACTCCACCCCCTTCTTCCTCCAGTCTGAGGACGGTTCACCAGGGGTAGCACAACAGGTTCACAACGAGGGTCTTGCAGTCAGAGATGGCACACCAGAACAGCAGGAACTTGTTCCTGTTGTATGCAAGATCATTTGTTGAAGAATATGGAATTATTGATACAGATGCCAGTAGTTTGAAATGTAGTAATTTGGACAGGAGGATAGGCTTTCCACCCTCTCTCCTCCAATGGAAAGAAGAATTTTGTTATAAACAAATTTATAGGAGCAATGATTACTATGAACCTGATTATAAATTAATCTCTATTCACTAAAGCATGTCACTTAAGGGGTAATATTTTTATTAGCCTAGCCTAGTCAGGATATTGTATGTAAGTTAAAGTAATAAAATTCTGGGTTTTAAAAAATAAATTTCATGTCTTCTCAGAATGGCCATTCCTCAATAATTTTTTTCTTTTGAGATGGAGTCTTCCTCTGTTGCCCAGGCTGGAGTGCAGTGGTGCAGTCTTGGCTCACTGCACCCTTTGCCTCCTGAGTTCAAGTGATTCTCCTGTCTCACTTAGCCTCCCAAGTAACTGGGATTACAGGCATGCACCACCACACTTGCCTAATTTTTGTATTTTTAGTAGAGATGGGGTTTCACCATGTTAGCCAGGCTGGTCTTGAACTCCTGAACTCAGGTGATCCACCCACCTTGGCCTCTCAAAGTGCTAGGATCACAGACGTGAGCCACCATACCCAGCCAGTAATTTTTATTTCTGAGGTTTCATGTAAGGGATATTTTTTTCTCTCTATTTGGTGTCTCAACATCAGAACTCAGTTGTATTTTGGGCTGTGCTTTACTAACTATAAACACTTCATGTATCCTTGTCTCTCCTATATATTTTGTAAATAAGAAAAAACCATTTAACACTTTAATTGTATAAGATTACTAAGGGAACTGGTAATGCTAAAGTGGTGGTTGGAATTTTGCATAAGAAATGTTTGGATTATGAGTCTGTTTTCACATTTGAAATAATCTCAGAGCCATTCTGCTATAATTTATTGGTTTAGTTTTTTCACCATTTTTAAACCACTTCTGAGATGATATGATACCTATTTGCTTTTCTTTAGGAAATGCTTTCGTATTTGTTAAATGGCTCAATGGACACATCTGCAAAACTAAGGAGGGGTTGGTGGGTAAAAGCACATTGAACAGTTTTGTTAGACATCATGGCATTTTACTGAGCCTGTGACTGTTATCTCAGCAAGTTTATCAGCTTTTTAGTGGCTTAATGTCAACACAATTGAGACAGAACTGGAACTGATATGGATATATTATGGTAAATGGGAACTGTGATTCAATCATGGGATTGTTGGGCAATATCCATCAAATAAAAACAAACCTAAACAGATGATGAGAGCCCCTCAGGCTCTTGGCCCTACAGGGATTTAGTTTCCCAGTGCTTGGTAGCAAACGAATCCTGTCTGCCCCATTGTGTACAAGGGGTTTTGAAAGAAACAGGAACTGCTTTGTGCATTAAAACAGACTCTTAGACTCTTAGCAGCTGCACCAGTGGTTTCTAGGACTCCTCATGA